GGGCGCAATGCTTGGCATTGTTTGGCATTGCTTGGAACGGGCACAACAAGAACACGAAGCACCCAAGGCGGGGAACCTGGGGAACCTGGGGAACCCGAAAACCCGGGGAACCCGGGGAACCTGGGGAACCAACCCGAGGCACCCGGGGAACCTGGGGAACCCAGGGAACGGGGAAACCGGGTAACAACCCAAGAAACACGAAGAACCTGGGGAACACGGGGAACCCGGGGAAACCGAGGAACCCTGGGGAACTGGCAAAGTAAGCTCCCGAGGCACCAACCTTTAACCGAGTAGGAACCCTTCAGGCAAGCCTAATTGACGGAAGAATAAATGATGTGGGCCTCGAGGCTCCTGGGGGACGTGGGAATACGAGTGAATTGCCCTTCCGATTTGATGGGAACCTCAGTTCGGTACACCCCTCACGCAATTCGTGAACGTTGGGCGCTCAGCTGGCCCCCGAGACGGCTCCTTGGAGCCTCAATTCGGCACACCCCTCACGCACGTCGTGCATCATGGACCCCACAGGCCCTTAGCTGGGCTCCAAAACCGCCTAATCCTCCAAGGGGAGCAAATATGCCCCCCCCCCAAAAAAATACTGCAACGATTGGTACCGGCCCTCGTCGAGGCAAATCCCTAACACCCACTGGTTGCAACACCTGCGTGGGAACTTCCCCCAGGGGCCCCGCCGTGACTCCAGCTCTGTGGGCTCCACTCGGCGGGCCCCCTGCGGCACCTCGCCATGACAACCGCCGAAGGTAGATGACGAAAGCGAGGATGAAGGAGCAGAGCGACGTGCATGTGTAAGCGCATGCAGGGAGAGGCCTCGCGAATTCCGCCGGCCTGTGATATTTGCAAGATGCTTTGAGGATATTTCGATGAGGCAGGTCTCCCGGGGGTGCTCCCTGGACGCGTAGACTTACGGTCGGACCCAGGACAGAAGCGCATCCTTCAAGACCGTGTGACCCTCCGCTGGGCAAAACGCCCCCAAACATGGAGATCACTCGAGCGTACCCCCTCCCCCTGGATGCGCAAGAACAGCAGGCACAAAGGACACTAGGGGCACCCTCCACGAGCCGACCTCGATCCTTTACCTCTGTCCGACCGTCAACTTACGGATGATCCGCGCGCCCGGGACCGCGGAGGCCCTGGCTCGGCACACCCCTCGTGCACATCCTGCGCCCCCCCAGGCCGCCGAGACGCGTCAAACACGAGGGATTCGCAGCTCAATCCTGACGGCGCCCAGGGGCACACACGAATAGATCAGCACACATCGCACTATTCCCGATATTTGTATTTTTTTTCTTGAGTTTCGTCTTCTTCCCCCCCTTCCCATCTTGTCATATATCTCCCTGGTGATCGAAAATTCTTCACACCAGCCTTCTGGGCGTAGGTGGTCTAGGGCGGTTCCTCTTCCAAGCCCTTTCTTCCGCTTAGGGGCAGGGTTTATCACTGCTCCCTATTAATATACACCCCCTCCCCCAGGCGACTGGGAGCCAACCAGGAACAATGCGGGTACCCCCCCACCATCCCTGGTAACAAACAATGCAAAACACACTCGGCCTCAAAATTCGGAGCATGCGCAGCGAACCCGATGCGGCCTCCCCCCACCATCCCTGTCAAACAACAATACAGAGTACACTTGGCGGCGGCGGCGGCTGCGGCGGGGGCAGCGGCGGCGGCGGCGGGGGCGGCGGCGGCGGCTGCGGCGGCGGCGATTCGGCAGCGGGGGCGGCGGCGCCGGCGGCCGCGGCGGCGGCGGCGGACAGCGGCGGCGGCTGCGCGGCGGCGGCGGCGGCGGGCGGCGGCGGCGGCGGAGGCGGCGGCGGCGGCGGCAGATTCGCCCCCAGTAGCTGCCCATCCAAAGACGACTGCTGAATATGCTGCGGCTCGGGCCAGGCTCGGGTGCTACGTATGTGTTGGGAGGGCGGGTGGGAGCGAGTGAGACGGCTTGCGGGCGGGGAGGGAGTCTTGACCCTTCCCCCTACCCCATCCCCTGGACCTGGAGGGGGGGTTCGGGATGCGTTGGAGCGTCCAAGATGGCCCAAGATGGCTCCCAGAGGGCCTCAGAGAGCCTAAGATGACCTTCGAGATGGCTCAAGATAGCCCAAGATGGCTCCAGATGGCTCCCAAGATGCTGCTCTAAGAGGCCCCAAGAGCACTCCAAGATGGCGCCAGGTGGCCATGTAACCTCCCCAGGAGGCCGCCAAGAGGCCAACATCCTTCAAAAACCTAAAGACTATCAATCCACTTGGCCTTCTCGCCTTTTTGCTTTCGATGGCCTTCCGAGCCCTCAAGACAGCTCCAAAGGGCCCCCAAAAGATGCCCAGGAGATGCCCAAGAGGGCCCCAAGACGGCCCCAAGAGGGCTCCAAGAGGAGATCTTAGGTACTCTAGAGGGGCAAGGCTAATTAGCCCCACTTTTTTGGCGATCTCATTCAAGATGGCTCCAAGAGCGCCTCCAAGACTTCCAAGAGCGCCCCAAGAGGGCCCCAACAGGCGCCAAAGAGGCCCCAAGATGCCCCCAAGAGACTTCCAAGTGACCCCCCGGAAGCCTCAAGAGGCTGTCCGAGACACCCGAGAGGCCCCCGGGACTGCCAAGAGGCGCCCAAGACGCCCCGAGAGGCCCCCAACTCGCAATTTTTCTCTTCCCCCTCCTTCTCCGTTTTCCCCGTTGGCCAGACCCGAACCCTTGGATTCTGGGGCTCTTAGGCAGAAGCGTAAAGGGAAACACATAGCCCGACTTGGGGCACGCAGTACCTGGCGGGCACCGCGGGAAACGCAAGACATCACATGAAGCGGCGAAGAATAATAAAAAGAGTAGGCGCCCGCCAGGTAGAGGAGGTCTGCAAGTACCCTCCTCCTCCTCCTTCTCCTCCTCCTCGTCCTCGTCCTCCTCCTCCTTTTCCTCTTCCTCTTTTTCCTCTTATCCTTCTCATTAACCGCCTGTGTCTCCTCCTCCCTCCTCCCTCCTCCCCCTCCCCAACTTCTTCTCCTCCTCCTCCTCCTCTTCCTCCACTTTCTCCTCCTCCTCCTCCTTCTCCTCCTCGTCCTCGTCCTCCTCCTCCTTCTCCTCTTCTTCTTTTTCCTCTTATCCTCCTCATCAACCGCCTGTGTGTCCTCCTCCCTCCTCCCTCCTCCACCTCCCCCACTGTTTATCCTCCTCCTCCTTCTCCTCCTCCTCCTCGTCCTCCTCCACTTTCTCCTGCTCCTCCTCCTCCTCCTCCTCCTCCTTCTCCTCCTCCTAGTCCTCCCCCTCTTCCTCCTCCTCCTCCTCCTCCTCCTCCTCCTCCTCCTCCTCTCCTCTTCCTCAAATTCCTCCTCCTTCTTTCCCCTCTTGGGGTACGACGGTTTCTCCAACCCTTTGTTACTCTGTATGCTTCCTCACATCCCTGATCAGGGCAGCTCGTCTGGACATCGTCGCTGGATGGGTTGGGGGGGTTACTTTTTGGCATGCGGGCTCGCGAAGCAGGTCGAAAGCCGTCCAAACACTAGCCGGGCCGCGACTAGGCAGCAAGAAGAGAGGCAAGCAAAGTGAGCGCGCGGGCAGCCACTCAGAGGAAGAAGAGCCAGACACAACACTCCCAACTCGGTGGCGTGGAGACCCTGGTGGCGACCATCAAATAGGCGCGGCCAAAATGGCGCACCTGGGGGGGGTACTTTTTTCGTCGCGGCCGCAGGCGAACGCGCCAGCAGCGAATGGGGGGGGTTACGCGAAGCGTCAAGAACTGTGTCTGTATGTTTTTTCCCTCCTGACGCACTTCGTGCATCATGGGTGCTCAGCTGGCCCCACAAGAGGCTCCCTGGGGCCTCAATTCGGAACACCGCTTACGCATTGGGCTCTCAGCTGACCCTTCAGACGGTTCAATGGAGCTTCGATTCGGCACACCACTCACGAACTTCGTGGACCGTAGACCCCCACAGCCCTGTTGGCACCTGAGACCGTCTGTCACCCCCTAGATGTCAAGATGGCCCCGACAAAAATTCCAACGAGTGATGCCGACCGTCGTCGAAGCCATGCCCCGAATATCCACTAATTGCAAAATTGACATGCGAATTTCCCTCTGGGGGCCCGCCGTGACTCCCGCCGTGAGGGCTCAATCACGCATGTCTTTTTGCAACCTCCGAATGTACGGACGAAAACAACATGTGTTTTGTGAGTCCCGAGTCTCGCGGAACACCAATCACGTATGTTGCGGGGACCGAAACTTACGGGTGAAAATTACCCATATGTTCTGTGGTTCCCAAGGCCTCGGACGAACAGAGACTGCGTGTTGTGTGCCAGAGGTTTACGGGCGAAAGGAGCACGTGTTTTGTGGGGCTGGGGGCTTTCAGACAAAAACTGCCCTTGTGATGTTTGAGGGTCTCGGCCGCGATTCAGCTTTGAAGGCGAAGGAAAAGCTGAGGGCGAGAGAGAAAACATGCCGGTCCAACCTGGTCTGGTCGGAATCGTCCGCTCTGGTCTGGTCTGGCCCCGTCCTCCTCCTCTTTCTCGTCACCCATAGCATTCGAAGTTGTGTCCGCCATGAGGGTGTTTAGCAGTGATTCTCCTACATGGGCAATTTCGGAAACCCTGAACCTAAAAAAAAAAATCATCTCTTGGAGACACATCTTTTGCTTCCGCCGCCTTCTGCCGAGCTTCCGCCGGCGGAGGCGGCCTCGTTTTGCTTCCGCCGACCTTCCGCTGCCCTTCCGCCGAGGAAAGATGACAACTCCTTCGATCCTCGAAGGCAAAGCCTTTTTGTGGAATGCCTCACACAATCAAACTCCGTATTCTGTTGGGGGCCTGCGGCGAAGACGTCACGACCAACCCGTGAACTGAGCTGCACTGGCTGGCTCGTGGAGTGCTGGGGTTGCTGTGACGTGGCCTCCAACTCATGGCGTTGCGGGGGGGCAGCCTGGAAAACACCCCGTTGAAACGTGGGCCGCGAAACGCGTGAAGGTCACGCGACGGGCAGTTGGGGCCGCCCAGGCCGCCCGCAGTGTCCGCGGGCGGCCTCACCCTCAGGGCTCCTTGCTGGGCCGCAGCGGCGGCACCTTGCTGGCCCCTGGCAGCCGGTCCGCGCTGCAGCCCCACTGCCGGAGCTCCTCCTCCTCCTCCTCTTCCAGCTCCTCCACCTTCTCACTGTCCACGGCGAACTCCTCCGCGCAGCCGTTACTGTCCCTGTGGACGCCTCCGTTGGCATTCCCAGACTTCGACCTGGAACCCTTGCTAGGCTTCCCTGCCTGCACCTTCATCCAGCCGCCCTGCCCCCCGGGGCTCGTCCGGCAGCGGCGCCACATGTCGAGGATGTCCTCGTCGCCCCTCCTGCCAGGGCACCATTCGGGGCACTCGCAGCCGCGGGTGAACTCTTGCGGAAGGTGGGCCTTCGGCAAGTACGAGGGCCTGTCGGGTGAGCCGAAGAGGGGGGTTAGCGTATGATGACCCGCGGCATGTGCGCGAACAAGGGGGGACCAGGGACCCCGTTGACGGAAGAAGAGATGGCCATGGAAACTCGGAAACTTCATGGCTCCGACCATGATGTCCACACGCCCCTGGTCATCGCCCCGTCTTCGACGCGTGGTGGCTCTCGGGCCACCGCTCGGCAAGGTTCGGGCACCCCAGGAGCGCTTTCGGCGTGGCGCAGCTGCTGGAAAGCATCCCGACGCGAGAGAGCCCCCACGAGCCAGCGAAAATTTCCCGCCCCCTCCTCCCCCGCCGACGACGAGAACGTCGTACCCCCCCCTCCTCCCTGGGCACTCCCGAGAGCCTGACTGGGGGCCACGCCACCAGCGGCGCGGGGACGACGGCGGAGTCGTCCAGGCCGAGGGCGCGGTGCGCAGCGCGCGCCTCGGACCAGCTCTGCCAGTTGCTGCGCCACTGGGCCAGGTCCTCCTCCCAGCACAGGACCGCCGGCAGCAGCGCGAAGCGGCGGGCCCGCAGCTCGTGCTCGAGGAACCTGGTGCGGACGTCCTCGGGGGTCATGGCAGCCTTCACCCGGTCATCCAGAGGGACCCGCTGGTCGGTCGCCGCGCGGTGGTTGCGCCGGCCGGCCCCAGGGGTCGCAGGTAGCGGCGCGGCTTTGTTCAGCTCCCGTCCGACCTGCTCCTTCTCGAGGCGCTCCCAGCGCTTCGCGATCCTGTCGCGGACCTCCCGCAGGTGCGCCCTCATCCTGCGCCACCACTGCTGCATCTTGACAACGCGCTGCGCGAACTGCTTCAAGGCCACGAAGGTGCGTCCGGCCACTCTCCACTCCTTCAAGCACGCCACGATGCAGCGGGCTTCTAAGCGTTTCCGATGGCGGCGCAATATGTATTGTGCGCGTGTGGCCAATTCCCCCAGCTTCCTGACGGTTTCAGGCTCTTGCTTCAACCCCTGAATGCTTTGGGCCTGCTCCGCGGAATCCTGTAAGAAACGGCTCGCATTCGGTCCGCGCATCCGGTTGAGTTGCTCTGTCTTCGCCATGTACTCCATGCGATCCTGATCCGACATCTTGCGCACGCGGATCTCCTCCATTACCTGACGGGCGAACGCGCCGGCGACGCAGGCCGCGAGCCACTTTTCCAGCATCTGGTCCTTCCGCAGATCGCGCGTGTCCTGCTGGACCTTCGGCTGGTTGCTCCGTCGCATCGCCACGGCCCTCGCGCTCTGCTGGGCCTTCTGGTCCAGCTTCTTCAGGATGTCATTGGTCTTGGCGTCCACGGTGGTCTTGCGGTTGACCGCGGCGAGCTCCTTTCGCAGGTCATCCAGCTGAACGTGCTGACACATCTTCAGCCTCTTCGCCTCCACGGACGAAGTGGCCAAGGCCTCCGGCGACGCGTTGCGCAGCAAGATGTCCGTCTGCGAGGGCTCCTTCGCAGGCTTCGGGGGGATCTGGGTCTGCTGCAGCGGCGGGAGTTCGGGCTCCACCTTGCGGACCATCTTGTAGGCCTCGATGCGCTCCTGCAGCTTCTCCGAGTCCTCGCGCGACATGCCGAAGCCACTCGGGCTGCCCGTCTTGCTGCGCTGGAGCGTTGGCGACGAGGGGCTGCGCAGGTCGCTGCTTCCTTTGGGGTCGAAGTTGTCCATGCTGCGCTTCAGCGCGGCGATGCTCCCGAGGGCGCCGTCAAGCAGGTCCGCGAATTCCTCGTTGGCGACCTCCGCTTTCCCGTTGTCGTCCGACCGCCTCTGGCTCTCCTTGCCCGAGGCCGCCGTGTGCACCGCGTCCTCCTCGCCCCTGCTCCCCGCGAGCAGCTTGTGGAGGCTCTTCTGCGACCGGGTGTTCAGCGTCTCCGCGGTGGTGGACACCCCGAAGAGGAGGCCGCCCGCCTTGCTCCTGTGCTTGGAGCGCGCGTCGGGGGAGCCGGGCTGGCTCGTGGAGGTCAGTTGAGGCAGGCTCGCGTTCCTGATGATCTCCGGGACTGCGGGGCTCCTGTGGGCGGCGCCCCACAGGGGGAGGCGCGAAGGGAAGACGACGACTTCTGCCGAATCGACTTCTTCCGAGACGACTTCTTCCGGAAGAACCTCCTTCTGGAAGACCTGGCCCGGAAAAAAAACTCCCCGGGCAAACTCGCCCTGAAGAAATGGTTTCGGAAGAAGTCGCTTCCGGAAGAAATACCGTTAGAGGAAATGCGCCAGGAGAGATCACCTGGAAGAAGTCCCCTCGGAAGAACGAGCCCGCGGAAGAAGTTGCTCCCAGGATGCATGTGTGTTTTCATTTGTCGAAGAGCTTCTTCGAGGATAGTGTAATGGAGAGGGACGACGACGTCAACCGCCTGGAAGAAATCCCCCCGAAGATGGCAACCCGGAATAAAGCGCCTAAAAGAAATCACCCCGGAAGAAATCGCCATGGAAGAACTCCTATTGGAAGAAATCGCTGGGATGAATCGCCCTGGAAGAACTCCTCTCGGAAGAAGTCGCCCGGAGGATTTCGCCGCGGCATTGCCACGTGATGAATAGAGCGGAGGTATACTTCTTGTTCACTGCCCACGTCATTGCCACGTGGCGAGCGGAGTGGGATGGTATTTTTGTCTGCGCCACGTGCTCAGGCGCTGCAGCGTGGCGAGTACAGTCGAATAATATTTGTTCCCCCCTCCGAACGTTGCCGCGTGGGAAGCTCTGTAAGAACGGTTTTTTGAAGGCAGATCTGCCTTCAAAAAATCTGTAAGAACGGTTTTTTGAAGGCAGATCTGCCTTCAAAAAATCGGTCTACTCTGTAAGAACGGTTTTTTGAAGGCAGATCTGCCTTCAAAAAACCGTTCTTTTTGAAGGCAGATCTGCCTTCAAAAAACCGTTCTTACAGAGTGGAACAGTCTCCGTTTCGCTTCCCCATGCAGCGTTGCCACGTGGCGAGCACGAGCGGGCGCGCGCGCGCGCGGGCGGGCGGGCGGGCGCGCGGGCGGGCGAGGGCGCGCGGGCGGGCGGGCGGGCGGGCGGGCGGGCAGGCCGGCGGGCAGGCCGGCGGGCGGCGGCGGCCGCGGCGGCGGCGGCGGCGGCGTCCTCATCCTCCTCCTCCTCCTCCTCCTCCTCATCCTCATCCTCATCCTCATCATCGTCATTGTCGTCCTCGTCATTGTCGTTGCCATTGTCGTTGTTATTGTCGTCGTCGTCGTCGTCGTCGTCATCGTCGTCGTCTTTGTCGTCGTCATCGTCGTCCGTGATCGTCGTCGGCGTCGTCGTTCTCGTCGTCGCCGTCGTCGCCTTCGTCCGCGTTGGAGCCACGTGCGGAGTAGATTTCGGTGTTCGCCTCCGCGGCGTTGCCGCGCTGGATGCAGCATCATCGTGCGGTTCGGCGGCCCTGCGCGCAGATTCGCATTGTCTTTGCCGGCGTGTCGGCCTGTCGCCAGCCTGTCGGCCTGTCGGTACAGGGCAGTTTTTCATACATAGGATGGTTAAATATGTAAGATTTCCCAACCATCCTGTGGTGTTGGGTCCTCGTTTTGAAGAGACAGCGCCCCGCGTCCCACCTCCTCTCCTCCTCCTCCCCCTCCTCGCCCTCCTTGCCCTCCTCCCTCCTCCCCCTCCTTGCCTCTGCTCTCGGCACACCCCTCACACGTTTCGTAGCCCCATAGAGGAGCTCCACCGAAGGTCCCAGTGGCACAGCCCGCATGCGGTTCCCCCACCCAGGGCAGCGTTTCGTAGCCCCATAGGGAGCTCCACCGAAGGTCCCAGTCATGCGGTTCCCCCACCCAGGCAGCGTTTCGTAGCCCCATAGGGAGCTCCACCGAAGGTCCCAGTGGCACAGCCCGCATGCGGTTCCCCCACCCAGGGCAGCGTTTCGTGGCCCCATAGGGAGCTCCACCGAAGGCCCCAGTGGGGGTGCCCGCATGCGGTTCCCCCACCCAGGGCAGCGTTTCGTAGCCCCATAGGGAGCTCCACCGAAGGCCCCAGTGGGGGTGCCCGCATGCGGTTCCCCCACCCAGGGCAGCGTTTCGTGGCCCCATAGGGAGCTCCACCGAAGGTCCCAGTGGCACAGCCCGCATGTGGTTCCCTCACCCAGGGCTGCGCGTCGTGGCCGCATAGGGAGCTCCATCGAAGGCCCCAGTGGTGCAGTTCGCATGCCCCCCCCCCCACCCAAGGCAACGTTTCGTGGCCCCATAGGTAGTTCCCCCGAAGGTCCCAGTGGCGCGTGTCGCATGCGTCCCCCCCCACCCAGTACAGCGTTTCGTAGCCCCATACGGAGCTCCACCGAAGGTCCCAGTGGCACAGCCCGCATGCGGTTCCCCCATCCAGTACAGCGCTTCGTGGCCCCATAGGGAGCTCCACCGAAGGACCCAGAGGCGCAGTTCGCATGCGTCCCCCCCACCCAGTACAGCGCTTCATGGCCCCATACGGGGCTCCCCCGAATGCGATACCCACAGCTGCATATGGTTGGGTCCTTCGCCAGGCTAATTTAAATACATGATTATTTTATGAATAAATGTATGCATGAACTCATCGTTGTTTTTAATACTAATTCCCTGCATTTTGATACATGATCCGCACTCGGAGCATGTATAAACAAAACGGCACTGTATTGTCTGTGCGGCAACATCGCAGGCCTGCCGTTGCCCCGTTGCGGACGGAGCGGCGCTCTGTGCGTTCCCGCCCCCCCCCCCCCGCGGTTGCCGCGCGGCGAATGCGTAGTGGAATCTCTGTTCTCGCCCCCCCCCAGGTGCTGCCACGCGGCGAACAGCGTGGGATCTGTGTATGTTCGGTCCGCGCGGCGCTGCCACGCGATGAGTTCAGATATTTTTCTATGCTTCGTTTTTCCGCTCCCCGTGTCGTTGCCGCGTGGCGAGTGGAGTGGGAGAATGTTCCTGTTTGCCTCTCAGGCCTGGCCACGTGGCGAGTAGAGAGCAGCAGCATCTGTTGCCGCCCCGCATCGTTGCCACGTGCCGAGTAGAGTGGAGTAGTTCTGTTTCGCCCCGCAGGCGCTGCCACGTGGTGAGCACAGTGGAGCAGTATGTGTTTCCCCCTCCGAGCGCTGCCACGTGGCAAGGTGAGTGGAGCAATCTTTGTTTCGCTCCCCAGGTGTTGCCAGGTGGCGAGTAGAGTGAACAAAGACGTGTTCCGCCTCGCAGGCGTTGCCACGTGGCGAGTCGTGGAGTGGAGCAGCTTGTGTGTTCGCTCCCCCGTCGCTTACACTTGGTAGTTCGCGCGGAGTGGTATCTTTGTGAGTGCTGCAAGCGTTGCCACATCGCTAGCCCATTTGTCCGCCCCAGGCACTTGCCACGTGGCGAATACAGTGGAATCGTTTCAATTTCCGCCCTGCAGGCAGGACAGAGGAGAGAGGGGGGGGGAGTAGGGAGGAGGCAGAAGGGAGGAGGGTGGAGGGAGCAGGAGGAGGAGGAGGAGGAGGAGGAGGAGGAGGAGGAGGAGAAGGAGGTGAGAGGAGGGAGGAGGGAGGAGGCAGGAGGGAGGAGAAGGGAGAGGAGGCAAGACGCAGCAGGAGGAGGGAGGAGGGAGGAGGGAGGAGAGGAGGATAGCAGGCCTGGGAGGAAGAGCGAGGAGGTGGAGGAGGGAGGAGTGGGAGGCGGGAGGATCGGAAGGAGGACGAGGAGGACGGGCATTGGCGAGGAAGAGAGGTGGAGGACGAACGAGGAAGGGGAAGGTAGGGGGGCGGAAGGACGAACGAGAAGGGGCGAGGCGGGGCTGGTCTGAACTGGAGTGTTGGGCTTCGCCCCTTTCGGTTTTTCGGGTTGGGGTTTCGTCGGCGTTTCGGGGTTCGCCTTTGGGGAGATTTTCGGGTTTCGCTTTCCTTCTAGTTTCGAATCTGTGGTCGGTTTTCGGGTTTCGCCGCAAAGAATTTTTGGGTTTTCCCCTTGCTACCGTGGCAGCGGACTCCCCCCCCCCGCAGAGGAGGACGACCGCGAGGAAAGGAATCCCCCTCCCCTGGAGGAGGATGACGACGAGGAGAGGAACCCCCTCCCTCCTCCGAAATGGCAAGATCAGAACTCACCACTAGGGTGCCAACCAGACATGGGCGTGCGGACAAAAATCCTCATAAAGAAAATCGTCCGGAAGAAGTCGCCCCGGAAGAAGTCGCCTGGAAGAACTTCTCCTCCTCCTCCTCCTGCTTCTCCTCCCTCCTCCTCCTCCTCCTTCTGCTCCTCCTCCTCCTCCTCCTCCTTCTCCTCCTCCTCCTCCTCTTCCTTTTCCTCCTTCTCCTTCCACGCGGACGACGGTGCCTGGAAGAAATCGCCCAGAAGAAGTCGCCTCGGAGGAGACCCCGAAGCGCCTCGGCGCCCCCCCCCCCGCCTCGCGCCACCCCCTCTGCGGGGGGTCCAGGGACACACGAACGAGCAAATACACACACACACACATCCCAGGACCCCCCGTATCTCCGCATCTTTGCCTGTGCTCTCGTCCTCCCCCCCAACTTCCCATGTTTCCCATGTTTCCCATATATATATATATATGTATATGTGTACATGCATATGTGTATGTGTGTATGTATGTATATATGCATGCATGCATGCATGCATGCATGCATGCATGCATGTATGTATGTATGTATGTATGTATGTATGTATGTATATCTGTATGTGTGCATGTATCTATGTATGTATGTATGCATGCATGCATATATGTATGTATGCCTGTCTGTC